AACAGTTTGAACTGTTTGTTTTTGTTGCCTTAACCCTCCTGTTGTGTTCATCCCCCCCCTTACTTTGGTGTTCCCGGTCTTGTTTTAAATGCTCGTACATTAAAATTAAAATAAAACATGAATCATCACCACATTCTATTTAACACCCTTTGGAGTCATTTACTTTAAAGGTCACCTTTTATGCAAAATCTACTTTTTCATGTCTTTTATACATACACATGTGTCCTCTCTATGTTAAGAGATTCAGAAAGTATCAGGATAAAATATTCTCTCTTTTTGTCCTGATCCATTTTAAAATCAGATTTCGGTCACTTTTGGATGTCACAATGTTTTTTGGGTTGTGCAACCATTAGCCATTAACCAATCAAAGTTGCACCCGCCCACTTTATCGCCTGAATCTCCTCCTTGACCAGGGGTGTCAAACTCAATTTCATCGTGCGGGCCACATTAGCATTATGGTTGCACTCAAAGGGCCGGTTGTAACTTTCAGTCTCAATCTTTATTTATTTAGATTGCACATTTAAAACAACCTCAGTTGACCAAAGTGCTGTACAGGGAACAAATATAAAATAACACAATAGGAGTAAAATAATAAAACAATAATTAAAAACAAGATAAAAAGCACAATAACTAGAAACATATAAAAACACATACAAATATCAAAAATGTTATGTTCAACTAGTATTAAAAGCCAGTGCAAAGCTTTAAGACCTTATAAATATGTCACATATATAAAATAATGTATCATATTACATTATTGCCTCTGCATTGGATTATTATCAGATAGGGTAATAACTTCATAATTAACTACGTCTGAAAAGCAGAAGTCTAAGGCAAATAATTGCAAGTCTCTTCAGTGTGCACGTCACAAAATTAGATGCATTGTGGGACATTCTGACTTCTGTAAAGCGGCATTCAACCGTATAATAAACACATTATATTCTTTCAGAGCTCTTGCGGGCCACAGAAAATGAAGTCACGGGCCGGATTTGGCCCCCGGGGCTTTGAGTTTGAAACCCCTGTCCTAGAGCACTTTTGTGTTTTTTAACCAATCATCTTTCAGAGGGGCGTGGCCAGCAGCAGCTCATTTGCATTTAAAGCTACAGATACATAATCAGCACTTTTGAAACAGGGCTGAAACAGAGGGGATTATGGGATGCTACAATGATCTGTTTGGTATTTCGAGCCAAACACTTCAGAGACATGTTTTGTATATGTCTGAGAACTATAATACATTGTTGAAAAAGAGTATAACAGGGGACCTTTAAAATAACTCTTATTTGCCAAATGCATCAGAAAGCACTTTTCAAAAGGAAGCATAAAGTGCCCATACAGAAGCTCAGGAGTAAATGTAATGTCTTGTCTGGAACTGCAGATCATTTCACAATAGCCTCTTCTTCATTAGTTTTCTTCTTCTCTTTTTCCTGGAAAATCTTCCCATCTTGGACTCTCCACTGAAGGTCGAGCCCCTGGAACTTCTGTTTGAGCTATTTAAGCAAGAGAAGATAAATACACTCCTTTATAAAAAAATAAGCTCGTCATGATGTTGTTATGACATTGTAAAGATCAAATCAAATCAAATCAGGTTTTATTTATAAAGCACATTTAAAAGCGATTTTTGGTCGAGCCAAAGTGCTGTACATGTAATAAAAACACATTACTACAATCACAATAAAAGACAATAAATTACAACAGATATATATAAAAAATAAAATAAAAAAAACACAAGGAAAAGTCAGGAGTCGTGCTCCGCTCTAACTAGATAAAAACGTACTTCCTGCAAAATGGCATTGGACACAGCTTCGTCATTGAGGTTTAAGGACGGATCTGACTTCATTTCCACCCTCACAATCTTCACATGTTTTTTTTGTAGGTCTAAAAACAAACAGGAAAAATACATCGGTAAATGTACTTCACCACATTCCACCACTGACTTTAAGTTTGCTTTCAATCACTTTGGCATTTAGATATAGGCAATGTACTTGATAGAATATAAGTAATGCTCACCCTCATAGCAGTAGAAGGGATATTTGCCAATACAGCTTCTGTCCCACCAACTCTTGGAAGAGATCCCAAACAATGTACAGGAATCAGAATCCGGCTGACCTGGAGCCCATTGTCTGAAGGAACTGTTACTCTGATCCGACCATTGCCACTCATCTCTGAACAGACCGAATGCTCACCATCATTGCAACAGGGAGAAGGTACTGTACCCAGTTCCTATGTTCGGCAGTTATAGACTGGGCTTTATTGTACAAGAGAATACAAATAAATAAATATGGACCATTACTGTATAATTATCCTTAAATGATGTTATACAATGCACCTAATAAACAAGTGTGGCATTTTGAAACATGATGTGCAACAGTTTTTACTGTAATTTGTGTCCATTTTGTTGTTAACTAAGATGATGTTGTGATTTATTTTTGTGTTAGTATGCACCTGGACGCTTTGGACATACCTGGAGAAGGAAGAAATGGGTCTTCGGAATGATGGGAGTTAAAGACAAAAGGCGGACACTAGTGTTGAAACTAGTGGAGAAACGATCAAGATGCCACCTTGCCCCTCTGATTAGACGGCATGTTAAGTCAGGAAGTAGCATTATTAGTGATGAGTGGAGGGCATACAGGAGAGTGCTGAGTAACATGGGCAGTGGCGACTGGTCATTAGGGGCAGGTGGGGCACAGCCCCACCTAGTGTCAGCAGAAAGTATTACACATAATGATTACAAAAAATGCAAAGAGATGCAATATATAAAATATATTTTAAGGTCATGTTTAATCATCTGATTCGTCTGTACATTGCTGTTTTAGTCTGTGTTCTTCTAATTAGTGTCTACAGTGCCGTTTTGACCCATGTGGGACAAAACCTGACCATGCCCCACCCACTCACTGTCAAAGTGAACGGTGACTGTAAAAACTACACTGCGCATGCTCAGAGTATTTTTCAATGTAATGTGTGTGGCAAAAAAAAAAAGACCAAAGGGGCACAGAGCTGCCATCCCCACCATACGTCATCTCACATCATTCAGAGCTGATTGGCTGTAAGTACGTGTACCGCGAAAAGTGTGCTGTGTGAAGAGGAGACGAGAGAGCTGCAGTGACGCGTCCTAAAACCAGGAAGTAAGCTGCAAAAAAGCAATGAGGTTTCTACATACTGTAGGATTTTAGAAAATAGCTCGAAATAAGATCTGTGGGAAACGTACCTGTTAGATAAATGCACGTTTTGTTCAGCCGGATAATATCCACATGTCTACCCTACTTTTATAATTTTTTATTCATAAATCTATCGATTAGATTTATGATAGACTTTTGAAACTACAAGAAGATAAGGAGGACTTTTACAAAAAAGTTATAGAAATTTTTGTCCAGAAGGATAGGCAAATGGACTTCATCTTCAAGTCAAGGTAAGACCGCAATTTTATTGAAAATGGGATCTTACTAAGAGAGAACAATTCAATATTTAAATTATAAAATTACATTTTTTGGGTATCCTTTTGTTGAACTGTCTGTTTAAAATTAATCGAAGCATCAGACAAAAAAAGCTTTTGAAAATAATATTATATTTTGGTTTAGGTCAAAATATAATATTTGTAAACCTGAAGAGTCAGTGCCAGTGCCTCACCAGCCATGAACCTCACTGCACGTCACTGCAGAAGCTTATATATAGACATCTATGTTTTTTGTGCCCCACCACTTTTGTACTTATAAAAACGCCACTGAACATGGGGTACAACCACTACACCATAAACCACAGCAGGTGGTTTGTGAACCCCCAGACGGCAGTCATACCCAACATATAGAAAGAGCTTGGTCGACCGTCAAAGGACATGTCCGTAGACTGAGAGGAAACCATACAGAGAGTTTGTTGGAGGAACACCTCAAGGTTCTTGAATGGTCCTCTTGGCTTGGCTCTGCTCACCCTGATGGACTGCTTGGATGCTTGTTCAAGGATATACACAGAGCCTTTCCAGTCTGAGTAACATTATGTCTTACCAAGTCTTTCATTTATGTCTGAGAAAAGCTTTTATGTTTAAATATATATGTGTATCAGTCATACTAAACAGTCATTACTTTGAGTCCTAATTTTCTTCATGTGTGAAGAAAATGTTTTGCTTGGTTCTGTTGCATCTTACTTTGCATTTCATGTGAAAAATGTGTATTAGGTCAGCGTGAATGTTATAACTCATTCATAAATGGATATGTTTATTAAACTTAAAAACAACGCACCCTTTCAGTAGTTATACATATTAGTAACCCATTCATAAATGGTCATAAAGAGATTCCTAGAAACATCAAGATGGATGGGGGGGAATCAACTCAGTGAACAACAGATACCAAGGATGCTGGCTGATGAAGAAGATGAAGTAAGCTAGGTAACCAATATAAGACTTAGCAGGACAGATAAATGTGGGCTCACTATTTGGCAAGCAACCGGTCACAGTTGACCTGTTTATCTCATGTCTTATCAAAACGTATTAATGATTTATAAAGTGTTCACAACCTAATTAATAAATGAATTACAAACTATTCGTAAACCCTTTATAAGGGTGGTCTTATTGTAAAGTGGTACCAAAAAAACAGTAGATGTAAAGCAATTACCACTAATAAACATGCAACATAAAACAGGCAAATGTAGTTGATTGACTTACCTTTGACAAGTAGCACATTATGACCGTTAATAAGGAAGCGTCTTTGAGTTTCTAGAAAAGCGCTATACAAGTCTCATGTATTATTATTATTATTATTATTATTATTATTATTATTATTATGTAGCAGGCGGGGCAAAGGTCTCTGTGGTTGTACAAGGCCAAAAAGGCGAAACAGCTATTTACTCTCACCAATATGAGAGGGGAACAGAGGTTAGAGAAGGAGGACATGGTTAAGAATTAAAAGTCAACACCACTGGAATAAAGTTAATATTGGACTGCGTCAGCCAAGTGTGACGGCCCCAGAGCCTGTGTGCAGGTGTGTTGCAGGTCCTGTGATGGGGTGGAGCTGAGGAGACCAATTAACTGGGGACACCTGGCCGCAGCCCCAGGTGCTACTTAAGCCCAGCTGCCCGGAGTCACGGGGCCTTCACGACTCTCTCCAAGACTGCTGTGGGGAAACTCTCGCCGGGATCCTTTCCCCTCGCCCATCCTCTCATTCTTTGTGTGTTTTTGGTGTTGCCACAATAGATGTGCCGTGGTTTTTGGAAACCCTTGAACGTCTCTCTCTCTCTTTCCTTTGTCGCCTACGAGCCGGTCATAACACAAGCAACGAAGAAATTCTTCGGCAACCTCAAGTGTTGTTTTTGTCAACACACCCGTGGCAGTACTGAAAATAGAAACTTGAAGTTGGTCTTGGGACAACAAAGGAATTGTACAGGTTCATAGCATGTGTGTAGCTTAATGAACCGTGATTACGATGAAGACTTTATCTTTCAAAATCACCTCGGACCACTTTCTGCTGTGTCTCTTCCTGAGTCTGCTTTGGGTAAGTGCCTTTTTTTAAATGTTTATGTTCTGACAGTGATCACATGGTTCACCTATTTCAAAGAATAGGTACCCTCAACAAAGGAAATGTTATTTTGTCTTGGATGCAGTAATCGTTTTTTACTGACTTCCTTAGAGAAAAAAGATAAATGAGGAAATAACTTAAATCATAAAACAAATTGTATCTTATTTATTATATATTTCAGACAAAGAAATGTAACTTGATAATCTCTTGTATTATTGTCTGTATTTATAAGAATACTTATAATTTTGAATGTTATAATATAGTTGAGAATGTAGATCCGGATTTGCTTGTTATTATTTGTACCAAGCAGTGAATTAATCATTTGCCATCTTTTTAAGTAGCATATATTTGTGGTCGCATCCAACAAGTAAAATCCTACAACCATTTTCTGGCCATAATTTAAATTTAAAGATCTTAAATGGTTCTTTACATTTCCTGAAGTTTCATGTAATAGATGTATGTGATGAAGGAAAGATTGTTGACAAGGAGTGTATTTTAACCTTCTTGCACACTGCCGTTCACCATTGTTCATGTAACAATATCATATAGATTATATCCGCAGAAATGTAATTGCTTTGGGATACTCACATATTGCATTAGAGTTATCTCTGCTATGAATCAGTTAAACACTTCTGGAAATGTTGGACTGTATGAAATTATACTTTTTGCGGGTTAGTCTATTCTCACTGTTTTCCAACGGTTCCTTTTTTGTTTTTAGGGCATCACTGAGACGACCACTTCATCAACAATCCTTACAACAACAGAGAATCGTGAGTTTGAGCCCCTGCCCTTTATCTCTGTCTGTATTTACTTGTATTATAGTGCAGACTTGTATGAAGGCCCATTATAATGTCATTTTGTCTCACACTGAATTCTTCTTCTTCAAATAATCGTGTATTTATGTAAATGTAATAATAATTTTCACACACTTTCGTATATTTAGCTGCAGAGAGACATGACAATATATATACTTATATTAACAACTATTAAAATGATCTTTACATCCCAGCTCCCCGTAATGCAGAAGGTTTCCAAACAGTTACACAAACAGAGACCAGTATAACTCTGGGGTGGAAAAATGTGCATGCAACCTTCAACTATACACTTGTGTTCAATGGAACGGAGATTAATGTCATTGCATCAGCTGATCCTGAAGTGAAACATACAATCCCAGATCTCACAAGTGGAACTAAATACAACTTCCAGCTCTTCACTGTGTTTGAATATGCCAAAAGCACTGGAGTAAACCTCCCTGCAGTCACAGGTAAGATGATTTCCCTCTGATACAGGCAATTATTTCATTTCAATCTTTATTTCGAACAGATTAAAAATAACAAATAAAAAATAACAAATGTGAAAAAAACAGAATACCGTATTGTTGAAATACAGTATTTATCCACATTCACGATAATATTTATATATTCAACAACAAAAAATCTTCATATTAATAATAATAATAATAATAATAAAAAATAAATCATATGTGTCCGAAAGGGAGTAGGATGAAGCAAATGCTTATTAATTCCCACCCCTTACTTGATCAATGATTGTCCTTTAAGTCATTGTGCAAGTTATTCCTACTTACATTTACAAAATGTTATACATACATATACAATAATTTCTCATCTTCAATCACCTCTCTTCATTCTCATAGTTTTCCAAAAAAGTGTTTCTGTACATCCTTTTAAACTGAATTATGCTTGTGCTTTGTTTTAACTCCTGCTCCAAACCATTCCATAAAATCACCCCACAGATTGTTATACTCATACTTCTCAGAGTTGTTCTGACCTTGAGTTGTTTAAAATATAGATTTCCTCTCAAATGATACCCACCCTCTCGGTCTATGAACAATGTTTTTAAATTCCTAGGAAGTAGATTATGTCTTGCTCTGTACATGATTTGTGCCGTTTTAAATTTAACCAGATCAGTGAACTTCAATATGTGTGACTTCAAAAATAATACATTAGTGTGTTCAAGATATCCAACATTATTGATAACTCTTATAGCCCTTTTTTGTAATGTGCATAACGGCTGTAGGTTGGTTTTGTACGTGTTTCCCCAAATCTCCACACAGTAAATCAGATATGGCAATATTAGTGTGTTATATAGAGTATACAATGAGTTGTAGTCCAGAATGTGTGTGGCTTTTCCCAATATTGCGATAGTCTTAGCCAGTTTTGCTTTGACATGAGTGATATGAGGTTTCCAGCTGATTTTGTGGTCTAAAACCACACCAAGGAACTTAATTTCATATACTCTTTCTATGTTTATGTTGTCTAGTATTAATTGCACCTGTGGATTTGTTTTATGTTTTCCAAATAACATAATCTTTGTTTTGCTTATATTTAATGATAATTTGTTTGTGTCAAACCAATGTTTTACTTTAATCATTTCTGCTGTTATTACCTCCATTAGCTCTTTCAAATTGTCACCGGAACAAAAAATATTAGTGTCATCTGCAAATAAAATAAATTTCAATATATTTGATACTCTGCAAATGTCATTGATGTATATTATGAACAGCTTTGGACCCAACACGGACCCCTGAGGTACTCCACAAGTTATGTTCATGTATTCTGATTTATGTTCACCAATTTCAACAAATTGTTGTCTGTTGCTTAAATAATCTCTCACCCAGTCTAATCCCACCCCTCTGATGCCATACCGTTCCAGTTTTGTCAGTAAAATATTGTGATCTATGGTGTCAAATGCTTTTTGTAAGTCTATAAATATTCCCACTGCTTGTTTTTTATTGTCCATGCAGTTTGCTATTTCCTCACTTAATTCCATTAGTGCCATAGATGTTGATCTATCTTTCCTGAATCCATATTGACTGTCGTCCAAAAGCTGATGTGTTTCCATGAAATTGTCAAGTCTTTTTGTAAAAAGCTTTTCAAGGATCTTGGAAAACTGAGAGAGCAATGAAACAGGTCTGTAATTTGTGTAATGGTGTTTATCCCCAGTTTTATATAATGGTATAACTTTTGCTATTTTCATTTTATTTGGGAATTTACCAGATTGAAAAGACAAGTTAAAGAGATGAGTCAATGGTTCTGCAATTTCTTCAATAATGTCTTTTACTATAATCATATCAATATTATTCCAATCGGTCGAGGATTTGCTTTTACATTTTCGCACAGTATCTATGATTTCTTTTTCTTCGACTGGTGTGAGGAAGAAAGAGCTATTATTTTCATTCCAGAGGTCCGTATCTTCCCCTTTAGTTGTTTCTACGGTTTTAATTTTTTCTGCCAGATCTGGCCCCACATTTACAAAGAATTCATTAAAACCATTAACCACATCATCTGTATTATTAATAACATTATTTTTGTCCACAAAAAACTCAGGGTAACCTGAACTTTTTGCTCCATTTCTAATGACACTATTTAATACTTTCCATAAACCTTTCATATTATTCTTATTATTCTCTAATATTTTATTATAGTATTCTTTTTTACATATCCGTAGAATATGGGTTAATTTATTCTTATATCTTTTATATTTATTTTCTGCTTCTGAAGTTCTATATTTTATGAATTGTCTATATAGTGTATTTTTCTTTTTGCATGCATTTTTTAGGCCATTAGTGATCCATGCACTGTGAGTTTGTTTGTGTCTCTCTCTGCATTGCTTCACAGGACAGTTTTTGTCATAAAGTGATTTAAAAATGTTTAGAAAATCATCATAGGCCTTGTCAATATCGTCTCTCTCATATACTACCCTCCAATTCTGATTTAGTAAGTCATTTTTAAATGCAATTATGTTATCTTCAGTTCTCAATCTTTTGCATTTGAAATGGCTGGCGACTTTAGGTTTCTTAGAACTGCAGTGATAGACAATAAAAACAGGTAAATGATCACTGATGTCACTATATAATAGTCCGCCTACTGTATTGTTTTCCATAATGTTTGTGAATATGTTGTCTATTAATGTAGCAGAATGAGAAGTGATTCTACTAGGTCTGGTAATTTTAGGATACAAACCCATACTGTACAATGTATTGATGAAATGTTCTGTCATTTTATGCTTATTTGGATTCAACAGGTCAATATTGTAATCCCCACAGATAAACATAATTTTTTGTAATGATTTAGTAAACATGTTTTCTACCCTATCTGTAAAAGTGTCAATACAGGTTCCAGGAGCTCTGTATATACAACTCACAATAACATTTTTAGACTTTTCCATACAAATTTCTACTGTAACACATTCAAACAAATCGTCAACAGCTGTTGTCATGCTCTCCGCCACCTTATAGTTCATTCCTTTATCCACATAGATTGCCACACCCCCGCCACTCTTATTCCTTCTGTTTGTATAATTCAGTTCGTAGCCATCCATCTCAAAGTCCACACCTTTCTCAGCACTGATCCAGGTCTCTGATATTGCTATGATGTTGAATGGGTTCTTAAACTGACTTAGATATTCTTTAATGTTGAGGAAGTTGGCATATAGGCTTCTGCTATTGAAGTGGATAATTGATATGTTCTCTTCTGATTGACACGTTACATTGAATTGCTCTTCTGTGAAATAGTTGCAGCTGTTGTTGATATTGTTATATTATTATAACATGTAAATTAAAGTTTCTCATTAACTGGGGGGTGTTGCTCACTTTACATATTTGACTGTTATTGATAAAATACTGGAATTTAATAAAACTAAATGTTTGAGGAAATGAACTACAGAAAATACAATGTTTTATACAGGAAATGCTGTTATTTTTGTATCCTTCTGTGTAATGTTGTGACTGTTCCTTCATCATGTTTCTTTACTTCCCAGCTCCCCGTAATGCAGAAGATTTCAGATCAGTTGAACAAACGGAGACCAGTATAACTCTGGGGTGGAAAAATGTGGATGCAACCTTCAACTATACACTTGTGATCAATGGAGAGGGGATTAATGTCAATGCATCAGATGAAACTGAAGTGAAATACACAATCCCAGATCTCACAAATGGAACTAAATACAACTTCCAGCTCTTCACTGTGTTTGAATATGCCAAAAGCACTGGAGTAAACCTCACTGCAGTCACAGGTAAGATGTTTTCCCTCTGATACAGGCAATTATAACATGTACATGAAAGTCTCTCATTAACTGGGGGGTGTTGCTCACTTTACATATTTGACTGTTATTGATAAAATACTGGAATTGAATGCAACTTATTTGTTTGAGGAAAGTAACAACGCCAAATACAATGTTTTATACAGGAAATGCTGTAATTCTTGTATCCTTCTGTGTAATTTTGTGACTGTTCATTCATCATGTTTCTTTAATTCCCAGCTCCCCGTAATGCAGAAGGTTTCAGATCATTTACACAAAATGAGACCAGTATAACTCTGGGGTGGGACAAAGTTGACGATATCCTCGACTATACACTTGTGTTCAATGGAAAGGAGATTAATGTCACTGCATCAGATGATATTGAAGTGAAACACACAACCTCACAACTCATCAGTGGAACTAAATACAACTTCCAGCTCTTCACTGTGTTTGAATATGCCAAAAGCACTGGAGTAAACCTCACTGCAGTCACAGGTAAGATGCTTGAACTCTGATACAGGCAATTATAACATGTACATTAAAGTTTGTCATTAACTGGGGGGTGTTGCTCCCTTTACATATTTGACTGTTTTTGATAAAATACTGGAATTGAATGGGACTTATTTGTTTGAGGAAAGGAACTAGACCAAATACAATGTTTTATACAGGAAATGCTGTAATTCTTGTATCCTTCTGTGTAATTTTGTGACTGTTCCTTCATCATGTTTCTTTACTTTCCAGCTCCCCGTAGTGCAGGAGGTTTCCGAACAGTTACACAAAATGAGACCAGTATAACTCTGCGGTGGGACAAAGTTGATGATATCCTCAACTATACACTTGTGTTCAATGGAAAGGAGATTAATGTCACTGCATCAGATGAAACTGAAGTGAAACACACAATCCCAGATCTCACAAGTGGAACTAAATACAACTTCCAGCTCTTCACTGTGTTTGAAAATGCCATAAGCACTGGAGTATACCTCACTGCAGTCACAGGTAAGATGTTTGAACTCTGATACAGGTAATTATAATGTCAATTCAAGTTTCTCATTAACTACAATTCCAGAATTGAATGCAACTTATTTGTTTGAGGAAAGTAACGACGCCAAATACAAGATTTTATACAGGAAATGCCGTCATTTTTGTATCCTGTCGGGAAATGTTGTGACTGTTCCTTCATCATGTTTCTTTACTTTCCAGCTCCCCGTAGTGCAGGAGGTTTCCGAACAGTTACACAAAATGAGACCAGTATAACTCTGCGGTGGGACAAAGTTGATGCAATCCTCAACTATAGAATTGGGCTCGATGGAAAGGAGATTAATGTCAATGGATCAGATAATACTGAAGTGAAACACACAATCTTACAACTCACAAGTGGAACTAAATACATCTTCCAGCTCTTCACTGTGTTTGAATATGCCAAAAGCACTGGAGTAAACCACACTGCAGTCACAGGTAAGATGTTTTCTGTCTGTAAAAGTTTGGAGTTCAAAGTTTCTCTGTGACGGGGCTGTTGCTCATTTATTTGACTGTTGCTGATAAAATGCTGGAATTTATAGATCATTGTTTTGGTGAAAAAAACCTACACACCATTATTTCAATTGATTTTTGTGGCAGTTCCTTTATTGTCTTTCTTTACATCATAGCTCCTCGTAACACAGAAGAGTTCAAATCAGTTACACAAACGGAGACCAGTATAACTCTGGGGTGGGACAAAGTTGACGATATCCTCAACTATACACTTGTGTTCAATGGAACGGAGATTAATGTAATTGCATCAGATGAAACTGAAGTGAAACACACAATCTCAGATCTTACAAGTCGAACTAAATACAACTTCCAGCTCTTCACTGTGTTTGAATATGCCAAAAGCACTGGAGTAAACCTCACTGCAGTCACAGGTAAGATGTTTGAACTCTGATACAGGAAATGATAACATGTAAATGAAAGTTTCTCATTAACTGGGGGGTGTTGCTCACTTTACATATTTGACTGTTATTGATACAATTCTGGAATTGAATGCGACTTATTTGTTTGAGGAAAGGAACTACACACAATACAATGTTTTATACAGGAAATGCTGTAACTTTTGTATCCTTCTGTGTAATTTTGTGACTGTTCCTTCATCATGTTTCTTTACTTCCCAGCTCCCCTTAATGCAGAAGATTTCAAATCATTTGAACAAAATGAGACCAGTATAACTCTGCGGTGGGACAAAGTTGACGATATCCTCGACTATACACTTGTGTTCAATGGAACGGAGACTAATGTCCCTGCATCAGATGATATTGAAGTGAAACACACAATCCCAGATCTCACAAATGGAACTAAATACAACTTCCAGCTCTTCACTGTGTTTGAATATGCCAAAAGCACTGGAGTAAACCTCACTGCAGTCACAGGTAAGATGTTTTCCCTCTGATACAGGCAATTATAACGTGTAAATTAAAGTTTGTCATTAACTGGGGGATGTTGCTCACTTTACATATTTGACTGTTATTGATACAATACTGGAATTGAATGCAACTTGTTATTTGAGTAAAATAACTACACCAAATACAAGATTTTATACAGGAAATGCTGTCACTTTTCTATCCTGTCGGGAAATGTTGTGACTGTTCCTTCATCATGTTTCTTTACTTTCCAGCTCCCCGTAGTGCAGGAGGTTTCCGAACAGTTACACAAAATGAGACCAGTATAACTCTGCGGTGGGACAAAGTTGATGCAATCCTCAACTATAGAATTGGGCTCGATGGAAAGGAGATTAATGTCAATGGATCAGATAATACTGAAGTGAAACACACAATCTTACAACTCGATAGTGGAACTAAATACATCTTACAGCTCTTCACTGTGTTTGAATATGCCAAAAGCACTGGAGTAAACCACACTGCAGTCACAGGTAAGATGTTTTCTGTCTATAAAAGTTTGGAGTTCAAAGTTTCTCTGTGACGGGGCTGTTGCTCATTTATTTGACTGTTGCTGATAAAATGCTGGAATTTATAGATAATTGTTTTGGGGAAAAAAACCTACACACCATTATTTCAATTGATTTTTGTGGCAGTTCCTTTATTGTCTTTCTTTACATCATAGCTCCTCGTAACACAGAAGAGTTCAAATCAGTTGAACAAAATGAGACCAGTATAACTCTGCAGTGGAACAATTTGAATAAGATCTTTAATTATGCACTAGTGTTTAATGAAAAGGAGATAAATGTCCCTGCATCAGAGGAACCTCTATTGACACAAACAATCTTTTGTCACTAATGTCACTGCATTAGAGGGACTATACAAAGTTAAATACAACATATTATGGCTCACAAGTGGGACTAAATACAATTTCAGTCTCTTCACTGTGTTTGAAAATGTCCTAAGCATTGGAGTATGCTACACTGCAGTCACCGAGATGTTTTTATATGATAAAGGCAAAGCTCTGCAATAATATGTAATCTTAATTTTCTCAGTAACTGTGGGGTACCTCGCTTCATATGCTTAATTTTCATTGATAAAATACTGGAATTAAATGTAACTTATTTGTCTGGAAAAGTTCCCAAAAACCAAACGTTTTATCATCGATGTCTTGCAGTTTTTCCAAATGTTATGCTGTGACCAATCCTAATCGTGTTTCTTACATCCTAGCTCCCCGTAACGCAGAAGAGTTAGAATCAGTTGGACAAAATGAGACCAGTATAACTCTGCAATGGCGGAAAGTGAATACAATCCTCAATTATACACTTGTGATCAATGAAAGTATGATACACGTCTCTGCATCAGAGGGACTTGACAAAGTGAAATATGCAATCTCAAACCTCACAAGTGGGACCAAATACAATGTCAGTCTCCTCACTGTATTTGAAAATGTCAAAAGCACTGGAGTAAATTACTTTGCTGACACTGGTAAGATTTCTCCTCTTTGATATAGGCCTACTACAGGAACCACAACACGGTTCTATAGTAATATCTAGGATAAATCTAAACAAGCATCTTACTTTTAAAGACTGTCTCTAAAAGTTGTCATAAACCATGGAATATTACTCACACTTAATCCTCATGTCAGACTGAATGTTTTTAAATTCACTGCATTTTTAAACCTTTGTCTCTCTGTAACCCTAAATTTGTTCATGTTGTTAAATGGCGTGTGTGTTTTCAGTTCCCTCAACAGTGGATTCTGTCAATGTGACTGAACGCTCTGTGACCAACATAACCCTGATGTGGCAGAGAATGAAAAATGACTGGGACTACCGGCTCGAAATGAATGGGGAAAATAGAACAATCCTCCAAAGTAGAACCATGGATGATGTGTCCCATTCAATCCCAAATCTCGAGCCTGGAACAGAGTATCCATTCAGAGTCATTACACTGTTCTCTGGACTCAGCAGCATTGCTTATGAAGGCTTCACAGTAACAGGTATTTGCAATAAAATGAACACAGTCATGGTTCTTGCAAATTATGATTATCTTATAGAATGATGTGCTAACTGTGAAACTGAAGTTTTTTGTCTGCAATTCTTTCCCATGCTTTTCAGGCATAGACTGTGCAAATGGAAACTGGAATGTAACTACCTCATCGATCCAAGGAACGGTTAGAGGTTTGTTCTCAAGTGCACAAGCCAGTAACACATCAACCCCAATTAATGGCAGTACTGGAAATAGCAGTGTGTCATTTTCTGGACTTTACCCTGGCGCGACCTATAATGTGACCCTTCAATATGAGAAAAATGACACGACATTTGAACAATGTAGACACACTGTGACAATCGGTAAGTACAAATCTGTCTTTCCACATGAATTGAATATTTGTCTGTGTTCCCCACAAAAATGTGAAGTACTAACATAATGTTTAAAATGTATATTGTAAGATTCAAGATTTCAATATTTTAACAATTGAGTATATGGGCCGCTATCATAATGTATTAAACAATACATTTATTAATTATTATCCAAAGACTTGGAAAATTACTTTGTCTTTAAAAAGTGAAATTCTCCTCTTTTTTACAATCAACCATTCCCCCAAAAAATGTAAATACCAAACAAGTAAAACAGATAAGCAGCACATTTTTACTCTGAGAAAGCATTAATTACTGGTCAAACTGGTCAAATGTATCGTTAGTTAAACTCACTAATTAAACAAATTAAATAGCATTATAGTTTTTAAGAGGATTTTCTGTAAATTGACTAATCATGTGTTACAGTATGTTGCATTGTGACTTTTATATGGGAAGTAAACAACTTTCAATGAACTTGTGAACTATGATAACAGCTAGACAGGTTTGTGTTGTGGTTTCTGAATTGAAATATATATTTCCACTTGTTTTTCTCAGTTCCTCTGTATTTAAGTGCTCGCTGTGAGTACTCTGCAGCCGGCTATTCTATGTCCATCATCTGGAATAAACCGGAAGGTATCTGGACTTCAGTGGAGGTGAACGTCACCGGGAAAACTCCTAAAAAGCTTGAAAATGGGGAACAGTCTCTGGAAATGTCTGGATTCCAACCTGCCAGAAAATACGAGGTGTCTATAGCTTCAGTATCTGGGGATGTAAGAAGTTATGAACCATTCGTTTTTTCGTGTCTTACTGATCCAAGGGGTGAGTCAAAGTTCCTGTATCACTCTATAAAAATACAATTTCAGTGTATCCTGATGAAACAGTTTACCAATATATTGCTGTGCTGAGTATCTGGATGTTATAAAGCATTTCATCCAGAATCATTTTCTTGTAGGAGTAATTGCTGGGTCATTCTTTGCTGTTCTGATTTTTGCGGTCCTGGTCTGTCTGGTTGTCTTTATTTTTCTAAAAAGACCGGATATTATCAGGTTGGTGCCACCTCAGTGACTATAGTTAGATTATCTTCCTGAAATTAACTAAATTCGTCTAAATCAGACTCCCTCTTTGCTTATTTCCCAAAGCAGAAAAAAGCTATTTATTGGTGGTTCCAAACAATCCAAAGAAAAGAGCAAGTAAGTATACATCATCATATCTTTATATTATTTACAACCCGGTATCACGGCAAGACGTGAACATGTGACGATTTTTACCATGCTGAGAGACGTGAAGATGTCACGATTTCGTCCCTTCAAACGTGACAGTTACACGGTATTGTTAACATGGCCCAACCAGTGGAGAAATACCATCGGTTGTTATTGTCAATATTAATATAATAATGATTTATTTTGTAATAGTCACACTCGATTTCGCCGATTTTCTTGTTGCCCCAGCTGGTCGACACCTCTTTTAGCAGAAACAAAGGCTACATTAATGTATTAAATTGATGTTAATCCATGTGTGTCGTTGTGGAATTAATGGACGTGACGTTGTGCGATTGCGTTGCCAGGCAACAGCTTGCGTTCATGTTAATTTACAAACTCTTCAACTAGAACCGTAGTTATATTTAAAAACATTTTATAACGTTAACGTGCTTTAACCACTAGGTGTCCCTTTCTATCAGCTGTGCACCGTTATGGTGTAAATACAGCCTATCTACGCATTGGATCAAATATAAAAGTCAGCCGAATTAGTGTTGATACTGCAAGGAGATGTATTGTGTGAAAAGAAATGTAAGATGTTGTTTAATTGTTGATATATTTATGATACACGTCACGTTTTCAGTTTTGGCGGCAGTTCTTCCTGTTTGTCTAGAAGTCTTCTCATCAGGGCTCTATAAATAGAGAACTACGGCAGATATGTAATATTTAATGCAGCCGAACCGTGTATTACAATGTCGTTATGTGATGACTTTCAAAGAGAAAAGCAAGCACACTCGGAATAAAGTATTTTATTTTTAAAACATTTTTTCGGTTTTCACATCGCATAAACACCATATCCCAACGTGCATTGCGGCTAAAGCATCCAATCACCGAGCTAAGGATCTTGCCTACGTATGTTTCCGGTATTGTTTATGACGGATGTATTTTGTTATACACACACATTCCTTCACATTTAAATTGACATTTACATTAAAGTATTTCGTGAGGCCTTCTAAAATGTTTTTAAATATAACTACGGTTCTAGTTGAAGAGTTTGTAAATTAACATGAACGCAAGCTGTTGCCTGGCAACGCAATTGCACAACGTCACGTCCGTTAATTCCACAACGACACACATGGATTAACATCGATTTAATACATTAATGTAGCCTTTGTTTCTGCTAAAAGAGGTGTCGACCAGCTGGGGCAACAAGAAAATCGGCGAAATCGAGTGTGACGATTAAAAAATAAATCATTATTATATTAATATTGACAATAACAACCGACCGTCGGGGTAGAGGATTTGCTTGGCATTTCCGGGTATTTCTCCACTGGTTGGGCCATGTTAACAATACCGTGTAACTGTCACGTTTGAAGGGACGAAATCGTGACATCTTCACGTCTCCCAGCATGGTAAATCGTCACATGTTCACGTCTTGCCG